GACCACTCACCCCCATCTAGTGCCGAGGTTAAGAAAGAGAGGAGCTATACCTCCACTCACCCCAAACGCCTACATGGCGCATAGTGGGACAAACTTTACTTTACTTTTACACAGTGTGTACTTGGTCTCTGGAATTTTTCTCTGTCAAAAATCACATAACATTGCCTCTTCAACTTCAAGTGCTTTTACTCAGAATCTGTGACGCGTGCGTATAGTTTTGCTTAACATATATTTTAAATATGTTGAGTTAAATACAAGCAGATTTTAAATTTTAATTCTTAAGTTACCTAACGCATCGACTCAAGACCTCCGCTCAGTTTGCGCTCACATATTCCTGCGCCATCCTTAGGGACACAAAATGACAATAATCAATGGAAGTGAAATATTAAACGTAGATTGGTTTTGAAACAACGTTTATTAGGCCATTAATTTTTAATGTTTTTCCGTTTTATAAAAAAAATTACAAACCGGGCGGTGATCTAATGGTCGCAGTTGATAACAACAACAATCACTATAATAATAATAAACTCATAGAAATTTAATTAAAATGAAATCGGAGATCTTGAAATACGGGGACCTTCTCATTGAAATACAACGAATGTGGAAAGTGAAAGCAAAAGTAATTCCAAAAATTATAGGAGCAACTAGAACTGTCTCCAAGTAACTCAAAAAACATCCCGGGCGATCACGACATTAGGGAACTTCAGAAATTCACCATTTTAGGAACATCATACGTCATTCGAAAGACGCTGATGTAAAATATATAATGCCTCACGCGAAATCTGTATAATGCATGTAACACGTAGTAAAAAATAAAATTTATTTCGGAAATAGGTGATTCACTAAGTACCTCAGGAGCAAGGTTTTCCTCAGGTACATAGGAGTAGATACCCTGTAAAATAGTGAATAAATTTAATAATAATATACACTCAACAGGATACGTAATACAAATATCGCCCCAAAATCGAGTGCGCCAGTGTGTAGTACTAATGCTTCTGCATTTTACTGGACTTGACCGAAATAATCTTCGAAGCAGTAATATACATCTTTGAGCTGGCAAAGACCATCTACACTTAACTTTGGAAATTACTGATTATCGATACCAGCTCCGTATCCAACAAGTTTTAAATGTCAATGTCACGTTTCAATAAAGGTATTTGTGTTTTACACAGAATAGGTTCAGTGCATTTCATGCACGTGAACCGCATATAGGTCTATGCAGATTTGTAAATAATTACTGCAAAGCACTGGGTACATTGCGTGTGTATCAATCAAACTCGTTTGTAATAAAATTCATTTCAATGAATCTATTATGTGCTTGACAACAGTATGAAAGCCAATTACAGTCTAACACTGAAAAGAATACAAGATCTAATTAAACACAAATAATAGAGTTTCATAAAATACAGATAAGAGACAAAGACAACAAAGAAAAGCTGATAAAAATGCGCAAAATAAAATCGAAGAGTCCATACAAATAAACTTTAAATGTACCTATTAATTAATAAACAACTGAACAAGCGAAAAATGTAAGTAAGCGAAGAACAATCTCTGTTGATGTCAATTTCCTGCAGATTGCCCAGTGCACTCGCTTCTGATTATCCTAGACTACTAGGTAGTCTAGATATAGGTTAACAACAGAATTAGAGAGCAACAATTTTGTTTTTAAATAACATCAATTACGAGTAAGGAGTCAGTATTCCGCCTACTAGAATAAAAAATGTTGAAAGATTCAGTCTAAAGATTTCTGTCTTCTGTGTTGTTGCGCTGTGTAGTCTGGTCGATGTTTACCAACGTTTCAGGGGTCATACTGCCTCCGTCATCAGGGCTATGACAGAGATAGTATGACCTTAGAAACGTTGGTAAACATCGACCAGACTACACAGCGCAACAACCCAGAAGACGGAAATCTTCATACTCATCGCCCTGATGACGGAGGCAGTATGACCTCTGAAACGTTGGTTAACATCGATCAGACTACACAGCGCAACAACCCAGAAGACGGAAATCTTCATACTCATCGCCCTGATGACGGAGGCAGTATGACCTCAGAAACGTTGGTAAACATCGACCAAACTACACAGCGCAACAACCCAGGAGACAGAAATCT